AGATGGGCGACTCGAGGCATCCAGCAACAGGCGACGGTAAGCCCGAACACGACATCGGGACTTGCGATCTAACGCCGATGGGGGGCGACGAGGGAAGCGAGCCCGTAGACGAGAGCGTCACTGGCGGGGACGGCGACACTGGAGCACAGGGCGAAATTGTGGCTGTCGGCGACACTGGTGAGGAGGCAGACGCCATCCATGAAGCTCGCAACGCCGTTGGTGATGGAGGAGCCGCCCTCAGAGCTGAAGTGGAGCGCGTCAGCGACGGGGGTGCGGAGGGAGGCGGGGAGGAGGCCGCCGAGGCCGAGGGGGTGCACGTAGCCAGCGGCGTCGCAGGAAGCTGAATGTCATCATCGGCGTCGGAGTCCGACGGGATCGTGGCGATGGCCGTGGATGCTGTGGCTGTGTCGGTGTCCGACGACGAAACGGCAGGGGTGAGTCTCGGAGACGATCCCGTAGAAGAGGAAGACGAAGAGCTGCGGATGAGATAGTCCCGTCGGCCGAGCTGGTCGCGGTCGATCTCCGTGCACTTCATCGGTGACGCAAGCTGCATCGAGCGTACACCAGCGAGAGCGCAACTGCGGAGGAGGGACGGGGACAGGGGCCACACGGGCGCCATCCTCGCTTCGTTGTACATGTTGTAAGCGGCCGCCATAGCCGAGAGGGTGGCCAGCGAGGGTGCAGATAGGCCCCATCTGGCCATCCACGGGAGCGGGAACGGCCTCGCGAGGGCCTGTCGCAGGGCACGGTGCATGACTGGGCATCTCGCGTAGTGTCGCAGCGAGTCGAGCTTGCCAAGACAACCAAAAACGCAAGGCTTCTGCCCGTCAGGCGAGATGATACGGGCCGAGGTCATCCATCCATCAGACCAGGTGCGCAAGACTGCCATGGCCCACGAACACGGGCAGCGGGCGAGGACGCTCTTGCACACGTCCCAGTCGATGTGCTCAAGGAGGCCCGCAGACCTGCCAGCAAACTTTCTCAGGCGCAGCACGAAGAGGTCGGGGATAGGCTTGTTCAGGAACGCCAGGTCCCGCAGTGCGACATGCGCCGCTCGCTGAGGACGAGGGCGAGGACGGCCACCCTCACGCAGTTCTGCCAGCGCAGCGACGGCAGCACGAGCCCCAAAGACCGCCAGAGGGCCAGGAGGAGGGGTGCCCGCGGCAGCGAGCTCCAGGTTCTCCACAAAGGCGGGGGCCAGCCAGAAGGACGGGTACGGCTTACCTGACGCAAGCATGGATAGGGTGGCATCGTACGGGGCAGAGCTCGCGTGGTCCCGCAGCTGCTGGAGAAGCGCCTCCCAGACAGGGAACGTGAGCAGCGCAGCCCGCGTGATGGTGGCAACGGCCAGGTGCCCCCACCGCGTGCAGCGAGGGCCGCCCCACAGAGCGAGCTGCGCCCAGTGGTCGAGGGCGAAGGTGCCGAGCGGGATGCGGAACACCTGCGCGAGCGTCGACAACTCGGGCTGCAGCACGGACGCTGGTGGCCAGCAGAATTGGGCAACGTAAGATATGGTCGTGACGGCCCGCGTATTGTACAGTGTAGCGGAAAGGCTGGCGGGAGTGGTTCCCCGCCCAATGGCTTGGGCCCTGAGACGCAATTTGGCGACGGGGTCAATCCACGACGTGGACGGAACAACAGCAGGTCCCAGCCAGAGGCCCAAGTAGAACAGCTTGGGGGCCACCTCGAACGAGCTCCACTCGGGGACCACATGGGAAACCCAGTGGGAGACTGTTGCAGAGAGGCTGGGCGAGAACCTGTCAGAGAGCGGGACAATCTTGCATTTCGAGACCTTCAAAGCGAGGTTGGCCATGTCCGAGGCCAGCTTCATGACCTGATATACCTGAACAAGGTGCCGAATGGCCAATAGTGTTCCCCCAATGTCATCAGCACAGGCCCGAACAAGGCCAAGGCCAGCGGCCTCCACCCGAGACGCCAGGTCGACCAGGAAGACAGCCGTACTTAATGCATAGAGAGTGCCCGAAAGGGCACAGCCCTGGATGATGCCGCTCTGGATCCAGAAGATGTGCACAAGCGAGCCTAGGTGCGAGACCACCCCCTCCACCGAAGCATAAAGGAAAGTGACGAAGGACACGAAAGCGTCAGGCAGCTTGAGAGCCCTGAGGGAGAGAATGAGGAAGTCCTGATTCAAAGACGGGAAGGCATGGCCGAAGTCCAGGGAATACAGCACAGGGATATCGGAGGACCCGTGAGGCACGATCGACATCTGGCGAGACGACACGTCGAGCTCGAGGATGTTGTTGCCGAAATTCCTACCCGGTATGAATCCACGCTGGCACGGCGGGGCAAGGGAGACCAGGGCGGGGCGAATCGCCCGATTGACAGTGGACGAGATGAGCTTCAAGTCACAGTTCCTGAGGCCCAGGACCCGAACCTTGTCTGGGGAGCGCGAGCAGCTGGCATCGCGCAGCTCCAAGTCCGTGACGTTTTTGGGCAGAAAAATCCGGATCGTGTCACTAGTGTTCGCAAACAACTCCTG